AATTCAAGAAAATGTGAATAAAATGGTTGTACCTAGAAAATGTAGGAAAAACAAAAGCCAAGAAAACTTATGCAATCAAACACCACTAATTGTGTGAAGTTGGAAAATATTTTCTTTTTCCACCTAATTTTTTAGGCTATCAAACACACCCTTATTGAACATTCTGTTTCTCATGTTTGATTCTGACCAATCTTTTTTTGTGTGTTAGGAAAGAATAAGGACATTTGCCATTGTTGCAGATAACCAGGGCACCAATTGTGGACATGCCCAAAGACGCAAAGATGTCCAGCTTGTGCTGATGGTTTTATGAAATGGATGGAAGTAGAAAAGACCGCAAATATTGGTCGGTTATTCTTTTGTTGCACTAGAGATTGTGGGTTTTTCGGGTGGAGTAATGTTGCGCCCAACAAACGTGTACCATTACAAGATGAGGGCCAGTCCAGTGGGGTAAAAAATGAATGGGAATCAATGTGCGACTGTTCAGCCATTTACAAACCAGAGCATCAAACTGAAGATCTAGCAAGTTTGTTCAAAACTTGTACTCGAATTACCGAACAATAGGATGTCGAGATATCCATCAACATTACGTTCCGCAAGGGATCATGAGATGTGGATGCGAATGAAAAACAAAAGGGAAGAGATTAGTGAAGACAATCCAACTATGTAGTCAATGAGAAGATGGTTTAGAAATTTAATGTTCTCCTATGTAGAATTTGTTCTCATCTGTAATGTAATGAAGATTGTTAACTATGTACAATTTGTTAGCTTGAAACTTGAGTTTCATTTGTACAATTTGGTGTGAGTAATATTGCTATGAGTTTCATTTGTTAGCTTGAAACTTGAGAGTTTGGGTTCAGTAGATGAAATGCATATTTGTCTGTGCTTTACTGGCTGCCATGAATGTTTGAAAACTCTCAATATCTCTACTACTTGGCTATGATAAAGACAATGCATAAACCAAAGATTTTTTAGTCTCATGTATCGACTTCAGAACAGAGAAATGGCAAAATGCAGTAATAGATTCACCAACCATTGTACCAAATTTTTCTGAAAAACTGAAATGGAAAAAATGAATTTGATAGCTCCTTGAATGGGAAAGGACTCGCCAAATGCATCTATTACTTAAAATCAAGAGAAAAACCCAGGAATGATATGAAAAACCCAAGAAGGATGAA